AAAAAAGGGACAAAAAAAAAATTGCACGATATTCCAATTCTTACCAAACCCATAAGAATTGAAATTCCTCAAAAACAAGGAATTCAGGCACGTGACAGCAAAACCTGGAAATTGAATTTCATGGCAAAAATGTGCAATCAAACAATGGAATTTGTGAAAAGTGGAAATCAAATTCCACTTTGCTGGGAATTGCAGTGTTATCAAACACTGCCTTAGTTCTTCTCCCTAGGTACACAAGAAATCATTGATCCAATTCCTGTCTAGCTGGTACTTGTCATTTATCAAAAAGTGACATAGTTTGGTTAAAGATTTATTTAAATCATTATGTTTTCCTTCTTTAGATCTTTACACGAAATACATTTTCTTTAATGAAAAGATGCGGCAAAGTGTTCCTTCCATCAGTATGGTATCTCCTTTCTAAAGAGAAGAAATTGACAACTTTTCAATCAATGTGTATGTTTGGTGTAATATACAGAAACTACACGTTATAATATAATAATATTTTAACCTATTTTTTCAATTTTTAAATATTATTTAGTACTATTCAGTTTTTCACATCGACCATCCCAAGATTATTAGCAATCAGCGATTCCAAAAGTTAGTCTTTTCAAGGGTAAATAAATTGGCATGATTTCAGTTTCAGTTTTTATCAGCTATATACTGATTATTACTTGTAAATTCATTTTCATTTAGTTATTTTTTAACAAGTTCCATGAAAGGGTTGGATGGAAGAGTGATAGGGTAGCCTTCTTATTTATATCATTCATAGAGTCAATTTTTGATCTAAAATTTCAAATATTTCCATCTATATAAAACATGAAAGAGATGAGCCTTTATACGAATCTACCACTCGATTAATTCTTTTCAAACCATTAATCTTTCTTAATCATATGAATCCAATTATTATTTATGGAAAACTCGTTTGTTTTGTCTATAATGTCTTTGTCATTTACACTTGTAACATTAAATTTTAGAATTTAGACTTATTAGCTTGGTTTTAATTGTTGGGATAGTTCTTGTTTATACCACGCACTTCATGAGGTATTGATTTGGGATTTCGATTCTTACTATTTTAGCAAAACAAGTGAAATTTTGTACCACGCGATAATTTATTTTCCACTATATCCGTTTCCTATAGCCACAAATCTTTTTCGGAAAATCCCATTTTTCTCAGAGCAATGTCTTCAATTGTCATTTACCCCAACAGCATTCTGTTATATAAGAAGGGTAATTAATTATATTAGCACTATAAATTTTACTAGTTGCACCACAATTTTCTTATTTACTAAAATATTTTTAAGTAAAATTATATAATTAGAATTTTAATATACTTTTTAATTAAGTAAATTATTGTTATACCACAAATATAAAGCCTAATTTTTTTCTTTCTTTTTCCTCAACATCTCATTGCTCATAATTTTTCCAATGACTTTTGTCTTCTTCTACGGCGACAAGATAATCTTTTCCCTCATAGTATATAGATAAACCGTAAAAGAATTTGTGTATATAGGGATGTCAAAAAGGCTTGGTGGCTCGGGCGGCCCGTGGCTCGGCTCGGGAAAAGCCCGAGCCGGCCCGGCTCGTGGCTCGGACCAAAGCTCCACCATAATAACATCCAGAGAATGCAAGCATATCAGGTTCAAACCTGTAAACAGGAAATCCTACTTGAGGTACTTTCTCATCTTCATTATTCTTTGTTAAAACAACATATTAAGCTAAAGTCTTCCTTGTTAAAACAACAAATCAAAGAACAGACTTTCTTGTTAAATCACCATATTAAGGAACAGCGTTAAGCTGGGTAAGATCAGCTAATTAAAGCCAAAACTCGTAGAACCGCAGAATATTCTTACACAATATATAAGATGACAAAGTGGGTTCAATTAATTATCAAAACAAAGCAAATCTGTTTGTCAGCAAATACCTTGTACCAAACAGGAATCTGTCTTACGAAATTACGCTTCAAAGAGAAGTGAAGGGCTAGAAATAGAAATCAGAAAAAAATAGAAGCAAGGATCATCTCATTACCTTAGGTGAAGAGCAATATAACGCTTGCTCTTGATTCTCATTTTCTTCACTAATTTTGCTCCCATTTCAAGGATAGGGTTAGTGAACTTCAAAGCATGGTAATTGACTCGGCATCTAAGCTTTTGCAGATCTGTCTTCAACCTATTAGAAAGTCTATAGTCAAATTTTTACAACTGAACAGCCTGTCACGAAAGTATACCATACATTACTAGCTTGGAACAACAATAATCCAATAACAGGCAAAGCTCGGGCTGAGCCCCAAAATGGGGCATCCGCCCGAGCCCGGGCAGGCCAGTTTAATTTAAAAAAAAAATAACAAAAAAAAGAAAAAAGGCCTGCCTGCCTATCTTGTGCAGCTACAGCTGACTGTTGAGGCAACAGCTTTATAGCTGCCTGTTGGCAGCAGTTAACCTGCTGCCAACAGGCAGCTTTAATTATAAAGCAGCCTGTTGGGCAGCAATTAATAGAAAAAAAAATTTTAAAAAAAAAAAGAAAAGGAAAAAGAAAAAAGACACCAAAACACGGCTCGGCTCCGCTCGGTAATGCTCTAGCCAAAGGCTCGGGTCAAGCTTTATTTTTTTGAGTCGAGCTAGCTCAGGCAAAAAAAAGCCCGTCTTGATAAAGCTCGAGCCGAGCACGAGCCGGGAGTTTCGTCTCGCAAGCCGACTCGGCTGGGCTCGTTTACACCCCTATGTGTATATGTAGGTGCGTCAGTTTTTGTGACTTTTTGTCTATAAAGTATATGAATTTCCAAAGGTTGTTCTTAATCAACACAAAGTTTTTATTATTATATTGTATTTTTTATAGGATTGTAATAAATTAAATTTTTTTTATAACTTATCATAATTCAATTTATTTGTCCTAAATGTTAGGAAAATGAAGACGACTTCAATATATATGATCATACACAATACTTTACTATTGGCCAAATATGAATAAATCGAATATTAAATCTGTGTTTGTTAATGCAATTATTAAACATGTCCATTTTATCAAAAATATGTCATAAATGCTTCCTCAAGTTGGGTTTTCAATGTGTCCGATGAATTATTAAAACATTTATATCTATGAAATTACAAGGTTGTTGTCGATAAAATTTCTTAATTCCACTTAAAAGTGTTTCCAAAAGAGATTTCCAAGATTAAAAAATGAAATTGCGAATACATTAAAAATTCATATTTCGAATAAAAATGGTAACACAAACAAATTACTGACAACTTCAAAGGATCCTTTCAGACATATTAATTATTTGTGACAAACATTCATTTAATATTGCATGGTGTTCTTCACTGATCTTCTATTTTCAAAATTGTTATGAAATAAATGAGGGGAAAGGTTGAGAAAATGAGGATTAATATTGGTGATAAGTATACCACAATATTATATTATGTTCTTTTTCAATTTTTTATTTTTGTTGAATTAGGAGTATAATTGTAAATTTATTGTGATGTATTTATTAAAAATATATTTTAATTGTGATGTAATTAAAATTTGTATTGGTAATATAATTAGCCATATAAGAAACTTGATGAGTATTAGATTTAAAGCCATTTCATTCTCTCTAGTCAAAGCCATGGGGAGCAGTTCAATTGGTAAGCAAAACCTTTGATCATTTTCGAGAAAAATTCATTCCAGATCCATACACTCACCCTTTCGACCACTGATTAACCTTTAAGATCAATGCATAGGGGATGAGGTGTCTTGGTCACATAGGGGTGTTAGGCCTTCCTTCGTCATGTCCTATTATGCCCTTATTTGTTTCCCATTTTTCCCTCATTAAAATGAAAAATATTACTGTTATTCATCACACCAAGTCATCAAATTCGAATTTATATATCTTGTGTAGGGCCCATAACGGCAATATTTTTCATTCTCAATTTTACAAAAATAGGAAACAAACATTCCCTATATTTATTATGTCACTTTAATAATTCTACAATGCATTGGGAGTTTCTTTTATTATTATTTCCCCCTCCCACGCCCACCCCAAGCGAACGCAAGTTAAGAGATACAAGATCATGTAATAGTGAGAGCGAACAGGTTATGATTATGTATTTGCAAATTATTCATCTAGTGACATCTGAATAATCTTCTTATCGTACCATTAAAATACATACATATTATCTCAACCTATGTAAGAGATATCTACTTCACAATACCATGGTTGTCCCCAGAGTACATCACAATTTTCAATTTTCATCAGGTCATCCACAATCTTATCTTTGAAATACTTTTTAATAGAATGTGGATAGCGTATAATTAGGTGGTAAAGCCCTATTACAACAAGAAATCCTATTATAAATAGGATTATCCTACATCACCTTAACTCTATGCAATTTTCATTGTTGAAACGAGACAGCTCTATAGTAAACTGAACTTCAATAATTCAATCAAGAAGGGGAGAGAGAGGGGAGAGGGGGGGGGGGGGTGCAACAAAGAATTAATGAATTAATGCTATATTTCAATAATTCAATTAAGGAAGGGGAAAATATAAAGGACCGTGCTACATACACAGCATGGTTCACACCAACTTTCACAGCCCCCTCACATCGGGAGGGCCCGCGCACAGTATAAAAAAATAAAAAAACCGGTGGAGCCCCCTCATTGTGAGGGGGCTGTGAAATTGAGTGTACAGTAAAACCCAAATATAAATTCAATAATTCAATCAAGAAACAGGGAAAACAACAAAGAACTAATGCTAAACTTCAACAATTCAATCAAGGAAAACAACAAAGAATTAAATGCTAAATCATCAAAACTGATCGTTATCAAAAAAGAATTACGAATATTTAATTTTTACATCAGACAGCATTCAAATTTAAAATCTAATTCTGTCAAGTATTAGGACATCTATCACGCTGTCTAGAACTCTAAACTCATAACGGCATCATTTAAATTCCTCTGGTGGGAGTTGAATTTACGAAGCAACTGAAGAACGATTCAAAACTTCATCTCTTAGCCCGGTTAGTACCACCTCAATCACGCAACTCCATTTTTTCCAAGTTTTCTTTCTCCCACCAAAATTCCCTTTCATTTTTACCCCTCCCTTCAACCATCGGATTGTGGGCATCATCAAGAAATTGGCATTGAGGCAAAATGGATTTCAAAGAGGGTTCGCCAAAAGTGAAAAACTTGTTACCCGGAGATTGGATAAGGATTGCTACATCTGTGCTGCACAATAGGTGCGTTTCCATAGCCTTCTTGAAAAGACCCTTCCGCCTCTTGGATAAAGCTCCTCGTAAACTTGTTTTCTTGTCGATCTTTTGGATTTCAATCTTTCGCTTACCCTTCGTTTCCTTCTCTGGAATGCCATTAGACGTTGTCATGGCTGAAAAATGAGAAAATATCTGATTGATCTTCTGTTACAAGGACAAGAATGAGTTCAATAGAGAGTTATATAAAGATTTCGAGAGGAGGGGAGGAGGGACGGGTTCTAATTTTGATTTAATTGTACTCTAATCTCAAAATTCTTAATGTTAATAGTGCATAATTTTCGAAATTCGATGCCAGTTTTGAAGATGTTAACGTTAATTATTTAGACGTAATAAAGCTTAATTACCACTTCTTATTGGGTCCCAAAAGCCTTTTTTTTTTTTTTTTAAGAGAAATAGAATACTTAAAGAGAACTTCAAGAAAAAAAAAATTTAATTATTTTGTGTTTGATATGGATTGAAATCTATATTTTAATTTAAGTTAAAATTGACAGTGAATTTTAATCACATATATCATGGGATCCACAACTTTTCAACTACATAAATTTCATCAACTTTTTTTTTTTTTTATCAAAATTCGATAAAAATTTAATTTTAATTCCCGCCAAACAGGGGCTATAGACTTCATTATATGATGGCCACTAGTGGAATTTAGGTTCCGTTTGAGCCCCATTATTTTCTCATTAAATTAAAAAATATGACCGTTATTCATTACATCAAATCACTATAATTGATTTTTTATCTCTTGTGTGGGGCCTATAACAATTATATTTTTTATTCTCATTTTTATAATAATGTGGCTCAAACGGAGGCTTAATGTTTAATGAGGAATTGTATGTGTGGTCTTTCTGTTGTTAAGGAGAGTGATAGATAAATTTCCAGATAAACCTACTATTTCTATCGACTAATATGTTGGGTGTGAGCTAACGGACGAGTTTAAAATATTAATTCCAGCTATGTAACCCTTCATTTATTTATTTTTGTAATGTTATTTTTGCAGTTTTTTTAAAAATGATTTAAAATATTAAAAAAAACTGACTCCGGTACTCGACAATGTATGCTTACCATATTTTAATAAAAATGATTTTTTTTATTTTTTTTGAAAATTGATTTAAAATATTAAAATAAAATATCAATAGTACTCAACAACGCATTTGCAAAGAAATAAATAAAAGTAGTGGTTAGAAAACAAATTTGAAAGTAAATAAATAATTCGTAAAGAAATAAATAAATGAAGTCCAACAGCTATTAGAAATTACCTTTTAAAGAATGATTACTATTCAAAAAAAAAAATGGGTTTAAGTTCAATAACAACTAGAAAATAATGTTATAACTATAGTGACCATTGAGATGCTTATTTGTGTGTTGATCGAGAAAATAAAAAACGCTCAAATTTTTTGTCCACGTACATAGAAGACGATATATTTTTAATCCAAAATTGAAAAGTACTTGATGTGTTTGATTATGCAAATGTACTATTTGTCGTCCAATACTATGTTGTGCTTGTGTAACAAAAGTTAAATTGAGATTTCTGAAGCAAGAATAAAGTTTAAAAACTCGAAATTTGTAGAGAATAATTTATTGTATAAAATTGTTTAAAATTGAAAAGTGCACAAAATTTTTACTTATATCTGTAAAATAATTTTCTAATATTACCAATATAAGGAATAGGGATAGCAGTGGGTCGAGTCGGCTCGGCTCGTTAACCTACGAGCTCAGCTCGGGCTTGGGCTCGTGGTGAGCCGAGCTCGTGGCTAGTTTTCACGAGCCGAGCTCGCCTTATTGCTCGTGGGCCGAGTCCACGAGCGGCTCGCGAGCTCGTGATTTTTTTTTTTTTTTTTGCAAATTTTTCAATTTTTATTAATAAAATTTTATTTTTTTCCACTTTTTTGGACGAACCGGGCCCACGAGCCGCTCGACGAGCCGAGCGGGCTCGGCTCGTTGGATGCGACCCCCGCTCGGCTCGAGCTCGGGCTCGTCATTTGACGAGCCCGAGCAGCCCACGAGCCGAGCTGGAGAGCCGGGAGCCAGCTCGGCCCAATTGACACCCCTAATATTAAGGAATGTAAACTAAAATCGTTGAAGAAAAGAACTAAAATCTTAGCCCTTCTTTGAGCTCCATTTTATCAAAAATTATTTTTTAATCACACACTCTTCAATAAAATAATTTACATGTAAATAAATTTTTTTTCTTATTTTTAAATTACACATTCTTTATAAAATACTATTTCAAAATACATTTTTTCTCAAAAATGAGGCGTAAACAAGGGCTTATAAAAGAAACAAGGAATTATATTCCAATAAAAAAGTCTTATTCTAAATAAGAAAAGAGATAGTCTTATTATAGAAAGAATTTTTATTATAAATATCATATTATTAATAGGTTGTCTTATGTCATTCTTCACCATTTGAGGAAAAATTCATGATCGAATTTGGTTAAATAATAGAAGATCCATTAATTGTCATGTTAAACAAATGTTCATCTCTTTCTTCACAAATATAACTACTCATTCAAGCACCCAAGTCATATTTTTCCTCATCTAAAGCCCTTTTAAGCAGTTCTAAAATATGGGAAACAACAACGTCTCATTATATACTATTTTCCAAGGGATTGGAAGTCATATATTTTTGACTATTTGAATATTCAAATTCATAAAAAATAAACTCAAATTTAAAAGTTTCAATTTTATTTTATTTTATATTATAAATTGCATATTTAAATATTTGATATATTAAATTAAACAAGTAAAGGGATATCCAAATTAATTATTTGCTATCATTCGAAGATACAAAATGATTGTATAACCTTTAGGGTGAAATACATGATTGGTCAATTAAAGTTTAGTTCATTTAACTAATTACTAACCGTACTTTAAAATGTAACTAATATTCGCTCAAGTATCATAATTGTTACTCATCCATAACTGAAATGGATTCTGTCTGAAGCCTTTAATGGAACTATACACGAGGGGGATGGAAATCTGACGTCGTATTATTTTAACTGTTAAAACACTCCAAGTCAACAAATCACTCTTCCAAATAGCCCCTAACCCCACTAAACAATCGACAATACGTTTATTAACATTTTAGAGGATTAAATCTTCACTCCCAAATCCTAACTCTAATCCCAAATTTTCATTTTTCTCCTGTAACTAAAATTTTCTTCCATTTTCACAAAACAAAGAAACCCTACTCCTTCCATAAATTTCTTGGATATGGGTGACCCATATTCTTTCGAGTTTGAAGGCAACACCATGAATGAAAATGGATTTTTGCAACTTTACAGGGACCACAAGAAGGTATGCGTTAAGCCCCACATTTTGTAGATATGGATTTAATGTTTTTTATTGAACTAAATATAAAAATATTCTTTTTGGGATGTTAATAAACGTTGGATTTTGTGTATTTTTTTATTTTTATTTTTATTTTTTGGTTCTTGGACTAGAATCATAACCATAAAAAATGGCGCAAAACTGTATTTTTGTGCAGGCTTCAATGTTGAGGACAACACAATTGTTGATATAGATGATGAGCTCAACGATTCTGATAATGAGGTTGATGATGCCAATTTTGAAACAGGTAACTCTGTTCTAGAACGTGTCTCGGTTGGATATAACCATGTTTTGGGTGAAGAAGACCAATGTGATTTAGAGTCAGAAGAATTTTATTATCCATCATCTGAGGAGCTTGACATTGATTATGCTTCAAAGAAGATTGTAATTTTAGATTTTTAGAATTCTGTCCTGAGATGGAATTGATAGATCCCAAGGTGAAAGTCAACAAGAAGTTTGCTGACATTAACGAATTCAAGAAAGCAGTGAGAAACTGTGGGTTTATGAGTAGTGCTACTATTAGATTCAAAGTTAATGATGCCAAAAGCAAGCGATGTGTAAATCAGGATGTAAATGGAGGGTATGGGCTTCGTGGACCAAAAAGGAAAGATATGTACAAATAAAGTCAATCACTCCTATATGCATACAATAGAGATGACACAAATAGGCACTGTACTTATAAGTATCTTGTTTAGAAATACTTGGAGAGATTTAAGATTGATCCCGATTGGAAAACTAGTAATTTTTGTAAGAAGTCAAAGATGATTTGAAGCTGAAAATTAATAGGATTACTGTATGTAGGGCTAGGAAACGTACTAGATTGTTGATAGAAAGATCAGATGAACAATCAATTTGGGCTACTACAGTCATACGCTGCAGAAGTGATAAGAGCAAATCCTAGGTCTACGATTATAATTGTGGTTAAGGATTCGAAATTTTAAGGCATATATGTATGCTTAGAAGCATGTAAAAAATGTTTTCTCTACAACTTTTGGTCATTAATAGGTTTTGATGGTTGTTTCTTGAAAGAAAGCTTTGGTTGGCTTAGATGCGAACGATTGTATATATCCCATTGCATATGCTATTGTGGAAAGGAAGAATATGTCTACATGGGGTTTGTTCCTTAGGCATTTGGAAGAAGATCTTCAAATTGATAACAACAATGAATGGACGTTTATGACTAATAGGCAAAAAGCGTTACAAAATGCGATTGGTGCTATCTATCCTCGAGCTAAATATATGTATTGTGCACGACACATGTACACGAACTTCTTTAGGAAAGACTTCAAGGACAAAACTCTTAAAGACTACTTATGGAGAGCTGCTAAATCCACAACAGTTGTTGATTACAAATTTTGGATAGAGGAGATAAAGAAGTTCAGTGAACGTGGCTATAAATGGTTAATGAAAAAGGACCTATCAGAGTGGAGTAAGTCTCATTTCTTAACTAAATCCAAAAGTGTCATTCTCTTGAACAACTTGTGCGAGTGTTTCAATAAGATTTTCTTAGAAGATAGGGAAATCAATTTTGACTATGCTAGCAGATATCGTGAAAATTATTCAAATGAGGAGGTATAAGTTGAAGAGGGTGGAAGGATTATTATGTCCAAAAATTCAAAGAAGTTAAACAAGATCATTAACATGGAAAATGAGCCTGAGGTAGAATTGTTCGGGGCCCTCAGTCATATGTGTTATGTCCATCATGAGAGTTTATTGTTGTTCTGCCCAAATACACTTGGGCATGTATGAGATGGCAACTATTAGACATCCCATGTGCACATG